CTCGAGGCCCAGAGGGCTTCCTGGAGGAGGCAGTGCCCGGGCTGACTCCTGGAAGACTGACAGGAGCAGCATAAACCTGTTCCTCGGCTTGTCCCATTATTGTTCCCCTGGGGAGACTTTTTTCCTTATCACCCCATGACACGTTAGTGCTGCAGATAGAGTATGTCTCTGTTCCTATCCTGTGTGCGTCCAGGCTTTGTGGAGATTGTGTTTTTCAGTGTTGGAGGCAAGGCTGCGGGGTCCAGACTCCCTTGTGGGTCCAGACAGCCCCCCACACCCCAGGCCACAGCTCAGTGCCCGTGGCCCCTGCCAGCCGCCGGCCCCACACTGTCCCCGCAGTCATCCGGGCGTCCTGAGCCACCATCCACGTTCGGATCTGGCAGAACCCACCTCCCCCTTAGGAAGGGGCCCAGCCCCCCAGCCCCGGCCCCTCCGCCCTGGGCTCCACGCAGCCTGCCCCTCCTCACATCCCATGCTTTGCCTGCCTCACGCTGGGCCCTGTGCCCCTGTCACCCCAGCTCCTGGTACATGCTCAGCGAACCGGTGGGACAAGGGACATCAGAGCCTGGCCTGGCCAGCAGGTCCCTGCAGAGGGGTCGCAGCTCAGCGGGGCTCGGGCGGCGGCCGTGATGCAATCTCACACAACGTGCGCTGATTTGGAAAGCTGTTTCGGGGTGATTGCTGTTTGCGGGTGATTTTGGACTTAGGGTACCAGACCCTGGGCTAACCAGCCCTGTGCTTACAGGTGGCTACTTTTCTGGTGAGCAAGCAGGTCGAATGGTAGAGCGTGCCATCCTGGCCCTGTGTTCGCAGGTGAGTCGTGGTCACCTTTGTGTTAGCACATGACTGAACCGCCGCACGGCGACACGCACTGGCCTCCACCTCCCCGCATCTGTGCACAGGCAGCGTTGCATCCTGGCCCTGTGTTCGCAGGTGAGTCGTGGTCAGCTTTGTGTTAGCACATGACTGAACCTCCGCACGGCGACACGCACTGGCCTCCACCCTCCGCATCTGTGCACAGGCAGCGTTCGGCAAAACAGGAAAATAACCAGAAAACGTGCTCCTGTCAGAAATTTCAGGGCAAGAGCAGCTGCGAGGGGGGTCCCCGAGTCCGTGCGCCCTCACCTGGCACCCCTTCCAGCCACCTCGGTGGTTCCCCTCCCCCACGTTCCAAGTCACGCAGCCTCCGATTTAAATTCGCTTCGTGGGATTTCGCTTTCTCTCTGTGCCTCCGTCACCCGGAAAACTCAGCCGGCCCCAGTCCCTACTCGATGTTCTAAGGGTGCTCTGTCCAGCATGTTCCGCAGGGACTGATGTCCGGAGCCCTGTGTCCCCACGGTCACCCCTTACTATGGGGACTGTGGGCAGTGAAAAGCGGCTAGTCGCTTAGAGATTATTTTCTTTCGTTTTCATTAATCTGAAGAGCCACGTGCGCTGTGGCCACTGTGCTGGCCAGCGCGGCCAACCCTCAGTCCCTCCTCTCCCTTCGAGGTGGGACGGGAACCAGCCCTGCCGGCCCTTCAGCCGATGCCCCAGTGACGCCTTCGTTGCTCCCGCCGGCACTGTGAGCCGGTGAGCTCCACGTGGCGTCTCTGGTCGTGAGCCTCTCCCAGGTTCGTTCGTGAGCACCCAGCGATGGCTCAGCGTCCCAGCGTGCTAGGCAGAGGCATGTCGATGGCTGTGGTACATGGATGCGGCCACATTTCCTTTTCACACAGTAAAACCAATGACAGGAGGCGTTTTCCTCGCCGTGGTCCAGGACGCCGAGTTGCTGTTTATAAAAACACAGCAGGGGTCACCCCGGCTCCCTCTCTCCCTGGGCCTTTACCTCAGGTTCTCGGATCGCAGCCCCGCCCCGCCCGTCTCCCCTGGAAGTGGGGTGGCTGGTTCATCTGGGCCGTGCGGGGCGCGGCGTCTGCACCGCGGAGCTGTGCCGCTGCCCCCTGTCTGCCCTGGTGTGGGTGGCCGGCCCTGTGCTGGCCCATGGCCCCTTCTCAGTGTCTGTTCGGTGTAGCCGTGGCGTTTCACAATCATCGTTAGGAAAAAAAAAAAATCTCTTTTGCGTTTCAAGAAAATTCTCAGGAGGCTTTTCCCCTGAATCCCATATTGGAGAACAATTTTGCAAAACTGCGCGAGGCTGGGCGCGGGCCGGGCGGGCCTTCTCCAGGCGCCCCGTGTGCCTTCGCCGCCGCTTTCCGGACCCGTGTTCCTGTGTCGGGACGGCCGCCGCCCAGATAAGTCAGGGCTCCGAAGACAGTTGCCAGTTCATGAGCTGCAGAGCCGTCCCTTTTATAAGCAGTCCCTACCTCGTAGGAAAAAAGAAACTCAGTTGAAAAAATTAAATCGTTGGAAGTTTGAGTGAATAGCAACACGGTGAGAAGGTTCGGGGCGCCCCGAGGGACCGTAACCGGCCAGAGAGGAGATGATGCTTCCGGAGTCAGGCCGCGCGCCAGGGTTACGGTTGCTAGCGGGTCCAGCAACAAACTCTGGGCTCTGTTCCTCCACAGTCGCCATGGAGACGCGTTGCCAAGTGATCGCTTTGTTTTCCCACAGCTGAAAGACGATGCTGTCGCCCTGGTGGATGTGATCGCGCCTCCCGACTTCATCCTGGACTCGCCAATCGGCAGAGCTGACGGCGAGGTAACAGCCCCGTGCTCGAGTGCCCGCCGGGCTGACCTGGGGGCCGACGGCCATCATCCCAGAGCCTGGGGTGATGGCTGGCACCTGCCGGGAGATTGTCGCACCGGGGCAGAAGCCCGGTGGTCTGGGGTGAGGTCATCGTCCCCCAGAGCCTTCCCCTGAGAGACGGGCTGGCGGCTGGCCCCAGGGGGCTGTGGTGCCGAGGTCAGCGTGAGCCTGCGTGGAGCCGTGGCCCTGTTCCAGGCCCGGTCTTCCCAAGCGTCCCACAGTGCTGGCTCCTGCCCTTCTGTCCAGCAGGCCCTCGCTGCCCAGGGCACTAACGTCCATCAGGTTCTACGCTGCCTCTCAGCGGGGCCGTCTCTGGCCTCCAGCTGAGGAGCTCTGCCACACGCCCCACTCCGTCCTCTGTGACCCTGCGGTGCTCATCACCGAGTCCACAGCTGTCCCTTACCTGACTACTCTGGCACGTGGTGATGCCAGTGCTGGGGGACACTCGGGTCTGCTCAGCACCTTCTGCCGGTATTGATCCTGTATTGCCGTGAGGACGTGGCATTTCAGAGTGCTGAAGTCGGTGCCCGAGGTCTCCCAGCTGTCTGCACCGGGACAGGATTCACCCCCACTCGTCCCCTGACCCCAAGGCCATGTCCTCGCTGCTGAGGCAGCTGCTGCCAGCTCAGGCTCTGCCTGGATAGACAGTGGACATAAGGGGACAGGAGTCCTCCATCTGTCCTCAGGCGACTGTAACAGCCTTATCTAGGGAGGGGCAGGTGTCCGGCCTCTGCACGGCCCAGGCCACACTCGGGGAGGGGACTGGAGTGCCGGGTGCGGGGCGAGCAGGGTGGGAGCAGCCCCATCGGGTCAGTGCACGTTTGCTGCCCGTTGTGCTGGGGGGACACCTGACACCAACAGGCCAGGAGCTGGGTCGATACCACGTCTGGAAAGATGACAGGAGTGACCCTCGGTCCCCCGGTGTGGCCATGGCTACAGGAGGGACCGTGCTGAGCTCATAGGAAGTGGGCTGGCCTGGGCGATGGGGGACCTAGCAGGCATCAGGTGGGTGGCGTTTGAGGAAGAGGCAGCACAGAGGTGCCCATCACGGAGGGCCTGGGCACGGCCTCTCCTGAGGACCCCCGAGCACACGGAAGTACTGGGGGCGGGGGTGGCCTGCTCTGCAGAGGGCAGCCCTGTCTCGGCCTCAGGGTGACCAAGGAACTGCGGACAGCCGGCCTCAGGGTGAGGGCCCGTCTGAAACCAGAGCCGGCAGAGGCCTCGGACAACAGGGCAGTTTATGCCGTCCGAGGGCTGATGTTTAAACCAGGTGCTGCTTGTGAGACACTGTTTCAAATGCACAAACACAGCTGTCGGAGGCGATTCGAGACCATCATTAAATGAAGCATAATGCTCCACGTTATAAAATGGAGCCTCGGATTTGTGACCCGGGGAGACGAAGTCTGGATCTGTGTCTCTCAGGGAGCCGAGAGTAGCAGCGTTAGAGCAGGAATCACAGTGCGTCCAGCAGGTGCCGGGAGGGCGGCTTCTTCAACATGGGATCGGCCGACATCAGCCAGATACAGGATGGGCCCCTTCCCTGTCCCCGTGGACGGTCGGCGACTGGTCTGCCTTCTGGGCCCGCGGCCTGGGCACTGACCGCGGGGAGCGGGCAAGGGCTCAGCCGTCTGCCGTGTGCGATCCTCACGGCCATCCCCTGTGGCGGTCTGCAGCTGTCCCCGTTGTCCAGTGCATCCACTTGGCTGAAGGCCTTGGAGGAGGCCGTGGCGGGCAGCGGGGACAGCGTGCGCCAGGCCTGGCGGGCCAGGGGCCCCGGGGAACACAGCAAGGCCAGCCTCGCGCTGTCCTGCCACTCAGCTGCACCTGCACCCACCGTGACAGCCCACGGCCACTGGGGCGCCAGGGGACAGACCGGCACAGACAAACGTGGACTCGCAGAGTCCACGATGGCCACACACGAGCAGGAAGCAGCGTCCGCCCCGACGAGAGTTCCCAAAGAAAGGAATTTTTTCCCAGATGTTTCCTACTGGGAAAGAAGTTTACGTAAACTAAATTTCAGTCATCTTAATTTTTCTAAAAGGTGACAGGGAGAACGTCCTGTGTTTTGGCGAAAGCGTCCAAGGG